AGTGGCAGAGCTGGGATTCAAACCCAGGTAGATAACTGAGCCAAAGCCCTCCAGGAGGCCAGGTGATCTGAACATTCCTGTGTGGAGACAGGCTGGCCCAGAGACCCCCCAGAAGTCCCTCTCTGCATATCCAAAGCTCAGCAGAGCCAGGGCTGACATCCTGTGGGGCCAGGGAGCAAAGCCAGGGGAAGGCCATTCTGGGAGGTGGTCAGGCCCTCCATTACTGCCCAGGCTGCTCTGTGGGGCCTCTGCTCTCCTCTCCAAACCCTCCTCCCCCGTGGAGGCCTCTCTGATCCCTGCAGCCCACAGAGGGGGCCCCTGCCCAGGTGCCCACAGCACCGCCTGTCTTTGCTCACCCCAGCACCTGGCAGTGTGACCTGGTCTTCCTATGTCTGAACCCTCTGCTGTCTTCTCTCATCTATCAAACCGGTTGTTCTTCCAGGGCAGGGGTTCACCTGTGTCCCCGTTAGATTGGGGGCTTCTGCTTCTATTCTCTGGCTCTCACAGAACCTCATTCTTGGGGTGCTTCATCTATAGAGGTAATCACTGGTGCTGGTGGCCCATGAAGTGGGGCCAAAGTGGTGACTGGAGCAAGAAAGGTCTGTCACTTCAGTAGGGATTCCTGCTTAGCCCATGTCACCTATCCTGGCCGAGGGGGCTGCCAGGAAGTTACCAGCACTGAGGTGAGATGGAAAGAGGGTGGGGGAGGGGGTGGGGGGCCCAGAAGCCTGCCGCCCGCCAGGGAAATCGGAGCCAGTGGCTAAATGCAGACACACTGTCATGGTGCTGAGGGCCTGAGTCACTGCTCCTGGATGTCAGATCTCATTACCCACCCCTGCCCACCGTTCCTCCTCCCCTTCCCCCGATCCCTGAGGCGTCACCCACACATATACTGCATCCACTGGCTCCGGTGGCCAGGAGGGACCCTGGAAGGTCAAGGCCATTCCCTTGTCTATGGGCTTGCCTCTCCCTTCAGATCACACGGATAGAAGGAGCTTTAGAGGTGATACAATGCCTTGATTCCCAAACCTGCCAGGGCATCCCAGTCACTGGAGGGAACTTTGAACAAACACAGAGTCTTACCCTGCACCCCAAGATTCTGATTTGGGACCTTGGGAAGGGACTAGGAATCTGTTCCCATCAGCCCCCCACACACCCAGCCCACAGGCCAGTGTTTGGAAACCACTCATCACTCGGCAGATATTTATTGAATACCTACTACATGCCAGGTACTGTTCCAGGCTCTGGGGCACACCTACTATGTGCCCCCATAGCTTCCAGGCTCCCCTCATTGGACAGAAGAGGAAACTGAGGCTCCAAGTGGTGAAGGACCAGTTGGGGGTGGCCGAGCTGCTCAGGCTTTAAGTCTGTTGATGAAGAACAGGGAGAAGTTGAGGGACTGGCATGTGGAGGAAATGGCTTTGGGAGGACAGGCACTGCACCCCCTTGGTGGCCTTTTTCCAGATTCCTGGTGCTCAGAGGGCCAGGTGAGGGTGTGGACATACGGTGCTGGCTGGCCGGCCGATGCTGGCTGTGAGATTGTAGCTGGCAGCTGCCCAAGGCCAGGGATGGGTTTGGGGTGTCAACAGGGCTGCTGGTTATCCTGTTACTTCGGTACACAGTCAACAGATTGAGGTGACTAAGGCGACAGTGGGCCCAGGTCCACGCAGAGCAGCAAGCCCCTACCCCGCCTCCCACACACAACACACACGTGCTCCTATTTTGGATTGACTTGGCCTGGCATCTAGGGACAGGGGGTGGCTCAGGGTGCCAGGATTTTAACAAGTCATTGAAGGGCCATCATGATGTTCAGAGCAGGGTTTTGTTTGGGGATGGTGGAGAGAGCAGTTGTCCCAGATCTCTTGACCATGTCTTCCAAAAGTGGCATCAGACAAAAATCCTCTGCTTTGTGCCCAAACAGTGCCCCGATTGATTCAGCCACAGGAGTTCGAGGAGCTCCGGGTAGGGGAAAAGCCACACAGTCTAGATCTGGGCTCAGCTTCTGCTGTGTGACTTTAGATGAGTGACTGCACCTCTCTGATCCTCGGTTTATCATCTGCAAAATGGTGATGCTGTCCCTGACTCACAGGGTGCTGGGAAGATGAACTGAATTGCAGACTTAAAGGGCCTGGCACGTAGCCAGCATGTAACACGTGCTTGTCCTTCACCATGCCCCCCATGCCCTGGCTCCTACCCTCTGTTGGTCTGGGACAAAGTCTGGGCATTTACCCAGAGCTCTGTGGTTTGAAAGGCAGTTGTCTGAGACTGGAGTGGCTGGACACAAGGATCAAGCCTAAGTTCCTCCCCAGGCTTCGGAGGCCCCGGCCACCTTGATTTGCTGTGTCTGCTCCAGCGTGCTGGTCTCATCCCTGCCTCTGAGGGTGGTGGGCTGTCAGGGCTGGACTGTGGAGTGCTGTGCAGGCTTCAGGGTCAGGCAAACCTGGGCGGGAGTCCCAGCTCTGCCCCTCCTCTGTGACCTTGGACTAGCAGCCTCACCTCTCTGAGACTTCATTTCTTTAATTCAGGATAATGCCACTCCCCTGTTGGGCTCCTGGAGTGCTCACTGTTTTTTTGGGGTGGGATGGGGNGGCAGAGGGGCTGACAAGAGTGGTGGTGGCCACAGGTCAAGGGCTATGCAGGGACAAGTGCAGAGGTGCTTAGAGGAACTCCAACGGCCCCAATGGGTGGGCAAAGGGCTTGGCAGGGGCGGCTCAGGGACAGAGAAGGCTCGGTGGCAGAATCTGGGGTTGCTGAGCAACGAGGAGAAGGGGGCACAGAGCAGAACCAAGCCCTCTTAGACACACAGACACATTGGGTGTCTACCGTCAGGGCTGGGCTGGCGTCCCTTCCCCCATGACTTGGCCAGCACATAGTGTCCAGAGGAGCCTGGGTGGCTGAGTCACTGGGGGGGTGGCAGGGCTGGCACGTGCTGCCCGCTGGTCCTGGTGCCCACAGTCCTTGGCTTCCCTGAACGGAGTGTCTGGCTATCCAGCCTCCCGTGCTCAGGGAGGAAGCCGGGCCATGGGGGAGCAGGTGGAGGCCTGCAGCTGACCCTCTCCTTTAACGGGGACCTGTGGCTGTGGCCCACTGGGGGGCAGCATCCCTGTTTAGGCTGGGCCACACCCTCCTCCAGGCCGCAGGCCTCCTGAGAGCTGGGACTCAGAGACCCTAGTGACCCAGTGACCCTACGACCCATGGGTGAAGGGAGTGTGGGGTTTGGAGTGTGTGGCCCTGAACGCCAGAGCCTCTGCCCAGCCTTGGGCCCAATTCAGGGGTCCCAGGATTGGGGCTGGACATCTGGGTCCTGGGGGGAAGAGGGCTTGAGGGCTGTCATATGGGGAAACTCCTCCAGCAACCCACATGCCTGCCTCAACTACTCTTTCCCTCCTCTCATCTCCTCTCACCTCACCCCCCAGGTGCCCCAGTGCCTGCACCCCTCTGCCCCCTCCCATTTCCCTGCAGCTCTCTCAGCTGCCGCGGCTCCTGAAGAAAGGATCTGGCAGCCTTGGGGCAGAGAGAGGCAGTAATGGGGCTCCTGTGGCCCATCCAGCTCCAGGAGCAAGGTCTCCAGATTGCCCTGGGGGGCTGGGGGAGACACTGGTCAAGGTCTGGGGTCCCAGCATGGGACATGGGCGTGGGGACACTGGGCAGAGGGTATCGGTGTAGAGCCTGGGTTCAGGCGGGTAGGCAGGCTCACCTTCTCAGCTCGGACCTCGATGTGGTTGTTGGACGTGGTAACGATGATGTCTTCAGGGGAGAAGTCGCTCACATCCACTGCAAACTCATAGGCATCTCCAAGTGTCTTGATGTTGCCCGGTCCCCCAGAGCGGGCTGTAGGGAGGGCTGCCATAAGCTGAGCACTTGTACCCAGAACCTAGGTTTCTGGCTCCTTCTCCTGGGGGAAGGGGAGGCCCCCCCAGGCCTGATCTCCCCTGCAGCTCTTGTTCCTAAACGCCCGGCCCACCCCTCCTCAACTCTTGCAACCCACCTTTTCCATGGTGGAGATGGGACCTCACCAGGCACGGGGTGGAGGTGGGGGGATATGTGACATTATCTGCAGCAACCCACCCCAGGCCTAGAGTGCGGATGCGTCCCACCGCTCCACCCCATGCAGTCCCAGGGCAGCCGCAAGGACCTGGCCACAAGCCCTGTGTGGCCATGGCGCTATAGCTGACCCCCGAGCCACAGCTGTTCCTTGGAGGCCCACCTGTTCTCATGACCACATCTGTCTCTGTGGCCACATCTGTTCCGGTGGCCACATGTGGCTGCAGCCGTGCAGCACCTGTTCCTGGCAGCTTGGCAGCTGCAGCCACACTCGGAGGTACCCAGAGCAGGTGCCCCTGCCCGTGCATCTCCCCTCCCCTGAAAGCCCCGAGCACTTGCCTGGGAAGGTCAGGGGCTCTGAGTGGGGCCGCATGAAGCTGCCAAAGTCCTCAGAAAACATGCTCAAGGCCTTCTCCATGGGTGGGTCCTGGGCTGGGAGGGCACGGGAGGCCGAGGAGGAGGAGGAGGCCGAGGACGAATGGAAGCTTCTCTCCGCTCTGAAGGTGGAGGAGGTCCTGTGGCTCATCCACGGGCGGGCGGCCGGGCCCTGGCCAGGCGGGCAGGGGTGGACAGGAGAGGGTGTGGGCTGCAGGCTCTCGGGGAGCATGCGAGGCCCCGACTGCCGGCACTTTATAAGGCCCGACCGTCCCTGGGCTCAGGGCCAGCCCCTTGTCTACCAGCTAAATTTAGGCCTCGCCGTGGCCCAGAGGGGGCTGGAAATCTTCCCCAGTGAGACGGTCCTGCTGACAGTCCAACACACGCAGGCCCGTGAGGCTGAACTCACAGCCCGGCATTCCAGGCCGATAACTCCAGCCTCGGGGCCTAGGCACAGCAGTAGGGGGGGTGGGGCGGCTCAGATCCATGCCCAGGACTNGACCAAAGCTGGTCTGGGGACGGTAGGGAGCCAGGGGGCTGCGAATTCGGAGCCAGGCCATAGGTAAGCCAGTCCCCAGGTTTCTGTTTACCGCAGCGTTCTAGGAGTTGCTCATTCTGGGAATCTCTCAGTCCCTGCCCACACTCGAAAACCAGCAAAACTCCCCCTGGGCTCCCCGCCTTGTCCTGGCGTCTGGATGGCTCCCCACTCCAAGGCCTGACAGGAGTATCCCTCTGCCTCAGCTCTCACCGCGTCGTTGTGGAGCACTTCATGAACTGTGCCATCACCACACTGGCCAAGGACACACCGCTGGAGGAGGTGGCCAAGGTCGTGACCTCCACAGACAGTGCCGAGTACCCCCTGGTGGAGAGCACAGGTGCCCAGGAGGAAGTGGGGGAGAATAAATGGGGAGGGGCATTCAGTCTTCCTGCCTCTTGGATCTTGGGTCCAGGATGAGCAGGGCATTGAACCTGTCAGGCCGGCCTGAATCTGAATCCAGGCTCTGCAACTGTGTGACTTTGGACAAATCACTTCACCTCTCTGAGCCTGTTTCCTCATTGATAAAACAGAGATCATAACCACCCTACTCTGGGGTGGCTGACATGTTTAAATGAGAGATGAGAGGATTCTTGTAAGGCAGTCCATGGACAGACAGCTCTTGGCATTCTGGAAACCAGGCCTGGTGTGCTCGGGGAGTGGGGGGTAGGATGATGGGGACACGACTAGGGTCTTCCAGGAGGGCTCTTTCTCTCAGTCTCCCCTTCAAGCATTTCCCAGCTGAGTCCCCTCCACAATCCCTGATGCCACGAGAAAAGCATCTTTCTAAAGAACAATGGATGGGAGCCCTTGTTAAAGCACACATAAGCTGAATCTTGGGGAAGGATCTAGTTAGAGCATCATTTCCTACTGGACAAGTCCAGTATGAGCGGGAGAGGTAAATTGGAGAGTGTGGGGGACAGCCAGGGCCACTCAGGGCCACTGTCACTTTGTGTCCCTTTTGTGCAAATGAGACATGGCGTGCACTTGGCAAGCATAGCACAGCTGGATTTGGGTCCCCACTGGTCCTTTGGGCAGGTACCTTGTGTAGGGAACAACTTGCACAGCTGTATGGGTCACCCCCATAGTCACCCCAAGAGACATAAAGCCACTTATGAGCAGTAAACCCCTCTACAAATGGCAGTTTCCTCATCTGGAAAATAGGGATCAATACAGTAAGGAGTTGTCAGAGGTTCTCATCCTAAACGTCCCATCTAAACTGGGACACCCTTAACATCATCCCATAGAATATACCAGGCATCCCATTTGAACTTATTTGCACATGGAGGACCCCTCCGAGAGGTTTCACTTCCTGGAACAAAGAGAGAACTGGCCTCCAAGACAAAGTCCACTCTACCCTTAGAGCCACAGGAAGCAAAAAAAATCCCAACCCACAGGCCTGGGCTGTGGGACCCCACTGCTCACTCAAGAAATAGCTTTAATTATTTTGTTTTTAAAGGGGGGGCACGTACAGGTCTAGTTGTACGGTTTTTGTTTTACTGGATAAGAAGCAAAAATACCAGGCTGTCCCCTCAAGACTGAATACCTGCAAACTCCAATGATACCCTGCAGTGAGGCTTGCCAAATCAGCACACAGTAGGACCTCAGAACATGGTGACCTCCCAGGTTCATGCCTTCACTGGGCTGAGCCAATGTGAAACTTCCTGTGGTGTGAGGGACAAAGCCCAGCCCTGAGGCACAGGTGTCTTCATTCAGGTGCCCCAAACCTGCTCCTGCCTGAGGCCCTGCCACATGGGGAACCTCAGCTCAGGGTGAGCAGCCTCCCTCCTGGCTCCCTGGCAGCCTTACCCAGCTACCTCTAGCTACCACGCCTCCAAGTCAGAAGCTGAGTGACCTTGGGCAAGACAATTAACCTCTCTGTGCCTCTGAACATTAGTTTCCTCTTCTATAAAACAAGTGATAATAGTTCCTGACTCATAGGCAGGTTCCTGAGAGACTCAAGAACACCCAGCACATAGTAGATGCCCAGGAAATGCGAGTTCCTTCTTCATAACAGCTCTCTCCCTCTCCCTCTCCACTTGCCTAGAGTCTCAGATCCTGGTGGGCATCGTGCAAAGAGCCCACTTGGTGCAGGCCCTCCAGGTTGAGCCACCTTCCTGGGCTCCAGGACACCAGGTGAGTATTCATGCAGGGTATCGGGAGGGGGTGGGGGTCAGCAGGGTTGTGAGCAGATTTATGGGTTTGAGAGGGGCAGCCTGGGAAGGGGGAGGCTGGCCCAGGCCCCGTAATCCTTCCCAACAGTGTCTCCAGGACATCTTGGCTGGGGGCTGCCCCATGGAGCCAGTGACCTTGCAGCTGTCCCCGGAGACCTCCCTGCACCAGGTAACGGGGAGAATTTGGGCACGGGGCAGACAAGGACCCTGGGGTAGAGGGGAAGAGCCGAGAGGGAAAGTTCGGCTCTGGCTTCCCTGACACACAGTGTGGCCCTCTGTTCCTCCTGGGTCCGCTTCCTCATCTGCAAAACGGACACAGCAGCTCCTGCCCCCTCTGAGCCTCACTCCCAGGGTTGTTGAGACGATGCAGAGACTAGAGAAGTAAGAGGGAGTGGGCAACAGAAGCCTCCGGGTGAAGAGAGGCAGTGGTTAAAATTATGTCTTGCATCAAGACACACATGGGTTTCAATTTCAGATCCATCATGTTCTCTCCGTGTGATCTTGGGCAAATTATTGAATCT